GCCTGTCTTTTGCCTTCAGAGCAGTTTCCACATTTGAACTGTGAGAGAGGTGTGGCCTCTGGATTAGCAGCCCAACTCCTTATAGAACAGACTCTTGGAAGCAAGGATTTTGAAGCTCCATCTCATATACTTTGGGCACATGGCCAGGAGGGACCAGTCCTTGGAGAAGGACATCATGCTTGGGAGGTGGAGGGACAGCACAAGAGAGGAAGACTCCAGATGAGGTGGATTGACTCAGTGACTGGGGTAATGGGGTTAGATGTATCGGAGACAGTAAGACTGGCACATGACAGGACAGAGTTCAGAGCTATCATACATAGCGTCTGTTTATAGGCTATGTATGTGACTATGAGTCACAGGCAACTTGATGGCACATAACAAATTGAGTTGGTTCAGACTCATAGCAACCTTCCATCTAGTCACCAAGGCTATGAATCACAAATGGGAAGACTTCTCATCTTTTTTCTATGAAGCTGCTGTTGGATTCAAACGCCTGGAGGCTCACAGCCTTTGGATTAACAGAACAACTCACTGTAGACTACGCCACCACAGCTCCTTAGAGATTCCTAGAGGTCTCTAATATTTGTTCTCTCCACCCCTTAATAAATAATGGAACTCTGTTTCTATGGTCCAGTTGATCACCTAGAGTAAAGAGACTTTCTAGCCTCCTCATCTAAGTAGGGATCCCTGACCAAATTCTAGACAATAGGATATAGGTGGCAATGCTAAGTGATAGTTTCTGGGGACTTTCTTTAAGGCAGTATGGTGCTTTCTCAAAAAGTTGGAAATAGAAATACCATTTGACCCAGCATTTCCACTACTGGGAATATACCCTAAAGAAATCAGAACTGCCACCCAGGCAGATATATGCACACCCGCGTTTATTGCTGCTTTGTTCATAATAACAAAGAATTGGAAACAACCTAAGTACCCATCAACAAACAAATGGCTAGAGAATCTGTGGAATATTCATGCGATGGAATACTATGCAGCACTGAAAAACAAAGAGCTCATGAAATATTATACAAAATGAGTGACCATGAAGGACATTATGCTGAGTGAAATAACTCAGTCACAAAAGGACAAATACTGTATAATGCCACTGTAATAAAACAGGACTGATATGGGGGTTGGGGAGAAACGAAAAAAAGAGGGGACAAATAATATACACAGTATTGAAACAGACAAGGGAGAGAACTGTATATAAGGACTATATGATTAGGTATTATTGGCATGACAAGAGTCCAGAATAAGAGCTGCATAGTAAAGGGCGGAGGGGGTGGGGGTGAAGAATGTATAACAATGAAATAACTCATTTTTTTTCACATGCTTATCATATTTATTCTTATTCTTTGTTTTTAACAGTATATCATTGTTAATTTCTTTTTTTATTAATTTCAATGAACATTTACAGAGATTTTGGATTTCCATTCATTCATTGTTGCACTTTTCTCTCTGCCCACCCCCACCCCCAGTTCATTCTTTGAAAAGTAAAAGAAAAATTCCTTCATTGGTATATAATCCCCCTGCACTCCCCACCCCCACTCCAAGTATACTCCACTCTGCAACCTTCATTCTGGACTCTTATGATAATAACAATGCTCTATAATATATTGCTTTTAAACTGTTCTCTCCCTCATCTGTTTCAATGGAAAGAACTCATTTTTTCTAAAAAAAAAAAAAAGCAAATTGGGGGTGGGGGGCAGGGAGGAAAATGTGCAACAGTGAATGAATGGAAATCCAAGTTCTCTATAAACTTTCATTAAAATATCAATTAAAAAAGAAATTAATCTTTGCAAATATCTTTTATTCTCTATTCATCCTTTTCTCCATCTTGCTTCCTGTACACCATACATCAAGGACCACAGACCAACACTAACTCTGGAAGAAGAATGAGGTAGAAAGGGCTCAGGTCTTCAATGCTGTGGAATGCCTTATGTAAGCCAATCTTGTTTGTAAGCATAGATGCATAAATCCTAAATAAATATCAACAAAGTTAGGCCATAAGATTAATAGCATTTGCAGTGAATCAGCAGAAATGTAATATGCAATGATGGCCACACATCCTGCTTGTAAATTCTGCTTATTACCTTAACAGAATAAGCTGACTTAGACTATAATGTTAAAAACAGAGAGAAAGCAGCCACTAACGTGCAACACCCTTTCTGATTAAAAACAAGTAGTTGTCAATCTCAATGGTGGCCATATTCTTGCTGGCCTCAGCTCTTATAAGTTCTGGGACGTTGGAAAATATAAAACTTAAGGCAGAGACTCTCAAACACCACCAAACCTCAGGTATGTCCATGCTGAGCTACATACAACTCAGGTCAGGGCATCATCACCTTCCAGCCCTCAGGGAGAAGCCGTTTTGGGGACCTACAATTTCTCTAGATTGGAATCCTCTAGCTTAAAAGATCTAGAAGAGAAGATAAAGAGGTTTGGACACCTGTTATGGTCAAAACTTCACCCTAGCAAGGCTTTTTTTTATTTTGAAAATTAATATATACGCGTTTCATTCAATGCACATGAAACAAAGCATGCAAGCTTTTTTCTGACAGTTTGTAACCATTGAAATAAACTTGTAGATTAGATTCTTTTACTCTTGAACACCTAGATATGTCTGATGATAACTAAGCAATCTTAGACTAAAGTGATCCATAGGCAAGTAATTACAAAGGAAGAATTAAACTAGAATCCTGCAACTTCCTAGCAAAGCTTTTACGCCGCTTTGCTCTTATTCCATCATCACTCACTCAAGAGGCCTAAGCCTTGATGGGAAACCTTTTTTTAGGGAGAAACAGACAATCATTCTTCCAAAGCCAAAGTAAGAAAGAAGCAAGTTATCAGCTGCTGTTGAGTTGATTACAACTCATAGTGGCCACATGAGCGTCAGAGTAGAAATGCTGCAAAGGGTTTTCACTGGATGACATTTTTGAAGTAGAGCTTCTGAGCCACCTGTGAGTGGACTGGACCTTCCAAGCTACTCTTTGGCAGCTAAAAGCACATTAACCATTTTCTATTCAGGAACTCCAACGAGGCAAGACCAAAACCACTGTCTTCAAGTCAACTTGAACTGTAGCAATGGGGCCAAGTGTGTCAGAGATGGTGAGCTTGGTTCAGGATGTGGCCAGGTTCAGAGCAGTAATCCATCCCTACGAATCACATTCTACTTGACAATGCATAACAATATCCCAGCTGTAGAAGATGCTGCTACCTGGAGAGAATCTGTACAACTGCAAGAATCTGAAGAAATGGGCCTCATCTCCCGAATCCTACCACCAAACCCACTTGCGACATACGTGTCTCACATGATTATATCAACATTGATATATTACCTCCAAAACAATTTTCTCCCAACATCGATGACAACAAAAAGAATATCAAAGCAGAAGATAATTTGGTCATGAAAAGGTTAAAAAGAAAAACCCAGCTGTTCCTCATTATTCAGTCCTAGGACCAGATAAGCCCCATCTGATAAATGAGCTTCCCCTCAGCTGATGTACTTAACTAAACATGGCAATTAGGGCCCTGCCACATTATTGTTTCAGATTTGGCAAATACCAGGTGCCCTGTTAGTGGACTTGGATCAAAAGCAATCATAATTAAAGCTTAATGTGATTGATTTCATGCTTTGGGGTTGTTCAGGCTTGTTGTCTCGCTGAAATTACCCTATAAAACTAGGACATTGTGATGTAATATTGACCCAGGAAACCGAGAGGACTGAAGTGTGCATCTGTGCTTGATTCATAGTTGAATCCAAAGCTGAGACAAGCATGAATGCTTTCAAGTCATCGGTGCTACAGAGTGGAAAAATCATCCAACATGCATACAAAGCACTGCTGATTGGGAAGCCAGTCCTTAAAAACTGTTGAGCCTCCTGTTTTAGAAATCAGTCGGAGGGGTGGGGGGCGTGGGGGGTTGGAGAAGCTCAGCAGCATCCCCTGTGCAGTGAGGGGAGGTGGGTGGGTAGCACTCACACATAGATGTGAACACACCCCCACATTTCCTCTGGCACGTGTCTGAATGATCCCGAGCTTGGAGACGCTGAACGTGGTGTGTAGTCATCTGAGACTGACTCACACAAGTTAGCCACTGAATGCAAGATAAACAGAAAACAAAAGAGCTCTGGAAAATCCAGAAAACAACAATGCTAGTCCTCCTGGTCTGTCCCTCTGCTGACATCATGGAGTGATGGAATGACTTTTGACAAGTTGGTGGCCTCCTCTGTAAACTGAGACTAGGATGCCCGTGCCCAGCCTTCCTCACTGGGTTGCTGCTGCAAGTATCTCAGGGGCCATACTATAAAACCTAAAATAAAAGTGCAGGAAGTACGCCCACTGCAAAGTTCAGAGTCTCGTGTTCAAACATTATATCTGTGTCAGGACCTCTGCGTGGGCTGGTCCTTCTGTATGTGGGTCCACAATCCTGTGGCTCTTCCTGTGTCTCTAGCATTTGAGTCCATAGTCAGTTCACAGGTGTCTCATTCTGGTACATGGAGAGGAGTGTTCTGCAGAGAATTATCCATGCAGGTTTTGTGCAGACTGTGTAGATTCAAAAAGAAATTATTTTGGAATCCCATAGATGTGTGTGTGCAGCCCTTAGGTGTTTCTCCCTCACACAGTGAACAGCACAAGGACCTGTATTTCAAGTGGCTATGGAGTCAGCACACTAGGCCTGTGCCCAAAGTTCTGCCTCTTGCCTATGTACAAGACAGTCCCTTATCTGTACCTCTCATGCTGTGTTCTCTGTCCTCCAGGTGCCATTCTCCAACTGCAGCCGAGACTGCCTGGCAGGAACCAGGAAAGGGATCATTGAAGGGGAGCCCACCTGTTGCTTTGAGTGTGTGGAGTGTCCCGATGGGGAGTACAGTGATGAGACAGGTAGAGGACCTGTCCCTGGTGCACACTATGCAGGCCCACTGTGCAGGGCTTGGTCCCCTGAAAGTGCGGGCTTAGATGATGCTTAGCATAGTTCCTCATTTAATTCGACTGTGTCTGAGCATAGCTCTGTGCTGGCTGGGCACTGAGGGGGCATAAACTACAATATTAAATGTCATCTTCCTCCTATAACCACAGCTTGTCTGTCAGTTTGCCACACCATGGTGGTTTGCATGCTGTGTAATGCTGGAAGCTATGCCAACAGAATTTCTACAACAGCGGGGTCACCCATGGTTTGAAAACATAGAAATCCTTACAAACACCCCTTCTATTTATCTTCTTCTAATCTTGGTTCTCCTCTTCAATATTTCCTTTATTCCTTATCAGAAGCCCTGATAAGAACTTTACAAGTTCTTTTTCAAGCTCTAGAGTTAACAGGCCATTACAGATTATCTATTGGATTCCTGACTGTACATCTGTTATCTTATATATTCTTCCTATGCCTCAGATTTATCTGGACAGTGAGGATAATAATTAAACTTATTTTATGGATTTTTAAGAGTCAAATGAGTTAGTATTGATGAAGGACATAGTAAATCCTAGATAAGTGTTTGTTAAATAAAACCATGACTGGTATATTGGAATATACCAGTTTTGTTTTATTTTATTTTAAATAATAATTGCCATTATTATCTCATTTCTCCTACACCACATCATGCAGTAATTACTGTGTATGTTTCATAGATGAGGGACCCCGAATCTCCAAGAGATGAAGGAACCTAACCCAGGTTACAGCCAGTAAATGTCCAGGCAAGTGACCAGACTAGGACTCCCCTCTCTCACTCCTCAGTATCACGTGCTGCCTGTGACATAACAGAAACAGAGCAAACCTTTATTGAGCCTGCAGCCCCCTCACTAAAAACCCATAAATGTTTAGTGGGGATGGCTACTGTCATAGCGTGCGATTCTTTGCTTTCATCTTCAAGGAAACCTTTCTGTCCTAACATGTCTATGAAGCCCATCCACTCACCCAAAATAAGTAGGCTGACTTGAACCACTCTGTGAAAAGTTGATGAACTGTGCCACACAGTAAAGGGGAAGGCCAGTCCCTGTCCAGCAAGACTAATTTCTAATACAAACCATCAGCAAGTGCTATTCGTGGAAATATGCATCCCCCCATGGCAACGTACAAAAGACAGTCATTACTAGAGCCATCAAAAGCATATGAAATTAACTAAGTACATTATTAAACATAAGTCAGGGTTTGCTGTATTCTTTGATAGTGTAAAGCCCACAGTTACTTCATCAATCAATAAACTGTAAATTGGCAGCCTGTGCACCGTCTGCAATACATGCACACACACCCATGCACACACTGCATGCACACATATATGCACACTGAATAGACACGCTCACATGCACACACTGCATGCCTGCACCCATATTTGCACACTGCATGGACACACCCACACATGCACACTGCTGCATACACACACCCATATGAGCACACTGCATGCATACATCCACGTGCACACGCTGCATGCACAGTCACCTACACACACACTGCATGCACACAAACGCACGTGTGCACACACTGCATGCGCGCGCACACGTCTGCACACAATAACTAACCCTTCACGGTAACATCTTACAGATGCAAGCGCCTGCGACAAGTGCCCTGATGACTTCTGGTCCAATGAGAACCACACATCCTGCATTGCCAAGGAGATCGAGTTTCTGGCATGGACAGAGCCCTTTGGGATCGCACTCACCCTCTTTGCTGTGCTGGGCATCTTCCTGACGGCCTTCGTGCTGGGGGTCTTCATCAAGTTCCGCAACACGCCCATCGTCAAGGCCACCAACCGGGAGCTCTCCTACCTTCTGCTCTTCTCGCTGCTCTGCTGCTTCTCCAGCTCCCTGTTCTTCATCGGGGAGCCCCAGGACTGGACGTGCCGCCTCCGGCAGCCAGCTTTCGGCATCAGCTTCGTGCTCTGCATCTCGTGCATCCTGGTGAAAACCAACCGTGTGCTCCTAGTGTTCGAGGCCAAGATCCCCACAAGCTTCCACCGCAAGTGGTGGGGTCTCAACCTGCAGTTCCTGCTGGTGTTCCTCTGCACCTTCATGCAGATCGTCATCTGCGTGATCTGGCTCTACACCGCGCCCCCCTCGAGCTACCGCAACCACGAGCTGGAGGACGAGATCATCTTCATCACCTGCCACGAGGGCTCGCTCATGGCCCTGGGCTTCCTCATCGGCTACACCTGCCTGCTGGCCGCCATCTGCTTCTTCTTCGCCTTCAAGTCCCGGAAGCTGCCGGAGAACTTCAACGAGGCCAAGTTCATCACGTTCAGCATGCTCATCTTCTTCATCGTCTGGATCTCCTTCATCCCGGCCTACGCCAGCACCTACGGCAAGTTCGTCTCGGCCGTGGAGGTGATCGCTATCCTGGCGGCCAGCTTCGGCTTGCTGGCCTGCATCTTCTTCAACAAGGTCTACATCATTCTCTTCAAGCCCTCCCGCAACACCATCGAGGAGGTGCGCTGCAGCACGGCCGCCCACGCCTTCAAGGTGGCCGCCCGGGCCACCCTGCGCCGCAGCAACGTATCCCGCAAGCGGTCCAACAGCCTGGGCGGCTCCACGGGCTCCACCCCGTCCTCCTCCATCAGCAGCAAGAGCAACAGCGAAGACCCCTTCCCGCAGCCCGACAGGCACAAGCCCGGCCAGCCACCGGCCTTGACGCAGCCGGGGCAGCCCTTGACCTTGCAACCCCAGCAGCAGACACCCCAACAGCCCAGATGCAAGCAGAAGGTCATCTTCGGCAGCGGCACGGTTACCTTCTCGCTGAGCTTCGACGAGCCTCAGAAGAACGCCATGGCCCCCAGGAACCCCGCACACCTGAACTCCCCGGAGGCCCAGGCAGGCAACGAGACGCTCAGCAGACGTCAGGCCTTGCTCCCCCTTCAGCGCAGGGAGGCGAGCAGCTCAGAACTGACTCGGCAGGAATCAGACTTCCAAGGGCCTGCAGGTGGGGACCGCCGCCAGCTGGAGACTGAGAGCCCCGAGGAGCTGGCCCCAGCACTGGTAGTGTCCAATTCTCGGAGCTTTGTCATCAGTGGTGGAGGCAGCACTGTCACAGAAAACATACTGAACTCGTAAAATCCAAGGAAGACCCCGGCCAGCCAGAATCCAGAGAGGGTTCACCATGTGATCACATTCTCCTTCCGAAATGAGGAATCCTGCCCCAGACTCTTTCCTTCCCTCTGAGGAAGAAGGGACAACAGAGACATCCAACATTTCAAACTTATTCAAATGATGGCGAAATGACTAATTAATGTCCTTTTAAAGTCAAAAAACAGCAGAGAAAAATCTGTGAGTTCCTGCGGATGAATCTACTAGAGTGGGAGGATTATCACTGTCACACTTGTTCATCCACATCCAATCCCTCCTGCCCTGTACTATCCCACCCAACAGACCAGAGACTCAACCAAGACTGTGAGTTACCCACCTACTCCCAGCCCTGACGGTGGTGGATGGACTATGTTTTAATAGAGACAGGACTTTCCAGATTTGTCAACCTGGGGGGGGGGGGAAAATCCAAAACAAAAAAAACAGTCTGAAGGACAGAATGTAACCAGTGTCTGTGTAATACTGTGTCCGTGGAAAGAGCTTCAAATGTTCACACATGCAAGGTGAATGTGTCCCCTTATATTTATGAAAACCGTAGCTATCTGGCCTCCTCCTTGCTGCTGTTCCTGTGTGACATCTCAAAGGCTGCATCCCTCCTGTCCTCGTGCCTCTGATTTTGACCAGAATGTGGCAGGCGGTGTTTAGATTCCAAGGTCACAAGAATCACTGCAAACTGCTGGAGAGAAACAGCCAAAATCAGTGAGAGATATCTGTTACTAATTTTGCTGTTAATGGCTTTATCCTTAAGAAAATGCCTCTGTTGTAACAGCCTATAACAGACTGAAGTGTCGATCTGGTTTATTTGAGGCAGTAGTATTGAGCCCCATTATCCTTTCCTCTCTTCTTCCACTAGCCCTAACCCCACAAACAGTCTTTTCAAGACCCCAAGGGACCAGAAGTTCCCTTCCTCTCTGCCCCCAAAGGCTTCCTGAAGTCGGATCCATACCTGCACCAAAGAGAGTCAGTTGGGACAAGAGTGTGGTCCTAACAGCTCTCAGCATTAGCCCAGCACTCCACCCCTCGAATACCAAACTAGGCTCCCTTCAGCAGTGAACTCTGCGCATTGAGTAGTGAAAGGGATTGGATAGCGTACAGCTGAGTCCTCAGGCTTTGGCAACAGAAAGACCAGAGTTCAAGCCTTGGCTTAGCCACTTAGAAATGAGTGGCTTTAAGCGAGGAATCTTAACTGTTCGAAGCCCATCTTTTGTCTCTAAAAATTGTTCTTTTCCTTCTGAGTTCCTTTGTGGATTAGATGAGATCATAATGTATGTCAAATACTTAGCATAGTGCCTAGCACATAGGAAGTAAGCACTCAATAAATATTAGTATTGTTGATATTGTATTGTTCTTGTTTTAACTTGCTTAGAATAGAAAACAAAATTTATCTATATACCATACCATTCATGATTTAATGACTGTATTGTTGCTGTTGAGTACCGTTAAGTCGGGATGACCCATAGCTGACCCTCCAACAGATTTTCAAAGGCAGTTAACTGCACAAGCAGAGACTGCCCATCCTACTCCCTGCTGGTGGATTCGAACAGTGTGCCTTCAGGATTGCAGCACAGCGTCTTACCACTAGGCCACCAGAGCTTTCTCATGATACTCATGACTAACGTAACTGTTTCCATAATAAACCCAAGAACTCTAAGGGATCAGTGCCAGTAACACTGGCTTATAGTGAAGAAACCAGAAAATTAGTTCACACCCCCCAGTCCACCCAGAGAGCCCCATGCTCCCACTCTGCTGGGCTGTGGTGCTTATGTCCCGATCTCTGTTTGTTGACAAAAGCACCTCTGCGGACAAACTCTGACCCCTGACTCCAGTCTGGAATGCTCCTTAGATCATTCTTTGAAAGTGCCACTCTCCAGCTGTGACCAAACTACAACTATTAAATCTCCCTGAAATCTCAAATAATATAGCTCTTGGCAATTTCTTCTGATCAAACACTTCTTGATTTTTTTTTTTTTGCATTTTCCCATTTTTTTAATTTGAGTGAAAGTTAACAAATTATATTGGTTTTCATTCCATTATTCATACACACTTTGTGTTCTAACACTACTTAAAATTGCTCAGTGTAATTCATTACAAGGTCTAATCAAATTCAATCACCTTGGAGAAGGCCTGGACTGCAGATTTGTTTTCCTCTCCCTCCCTTCTCATCCCTGTTAACCTTTTAAGATTGATTCTTTGTGTGGGTAAAACTTTCCCTAGCTAAAATACAAGTCTTGAGTCTCCTTAACTTTTTTCCCTATATTCAGCTTTTTTTCCCTCTCCTTGATTTTTAAGGTAATTGGCTGACATAATGGCTGTTAAGACCATGATAGCTTCGTGGTCTGGCAGCTTATTGGTAAGGTGTTATGCTGTCAACCCAGAGGCTCTCAGCTCGAACCAGCAGCTCCTCTGTGGGAGAAAGATGGGCAGTCTTCTCCCACATAATTTGCTGCCACTGAAACTCACTGTAGGGCCAGCTATGAGTCATATATGACTCAATGATACATAGCAACAAAACTATGATGAAAATGCATTACAAGGCCCCATGTTGGAACATGACTGGAGATGCATCTTGAGAGTGCCCTTGTTAGGTATCTGCTCCCCATCCTGAAAGGGCACCAGCCTCGAGCCCACATCCCCATGCTCTTGTCCCCACGCTGCTCCTAGTGGGTGTAGCCTACCGATATCCACCCCCCTCTGCCAGCTCTCTCTGCTTCCTCCAGGCCTATCACTGGAGCATGGCAACTAACTGCTAACTGTCCACCCCCTCCCCCTAAGCATCACACACTGCATGTCTACCAGAAAATATGGAGAATTCCTGAAGGTTAGTAAGAGATTACAGCCTTCAGTATAAATTGCATCTGACTGTAAAACAAAACAGAAAAAAAAAAACCCCAACAACAAAAAACAAACAACCAAAACCAAACTAAAAATCCAACCTCCAAAATTCTCACAATTAGAAAAATAACATCACAATTAATACAGACTGAACCTGTCATTGACTTCATTCTACTTGAGTCTACAACCAATATCTACAGAAGCAGCAGTAAAGATATCAATCAACCTTGAAGACTCATTCATGTGAATATTTTGCAAAAGGTCTGGAACAGTGCCTGGTATCTACCTGCTTCTAAATGAATATTTTTTAAATAAATGGAAAAAAAGAAGACATCAAGCAATGTATTGCATTAGAAAAATCTGCTTCAAAAATATCTCTTTAAAATTTGAAAAAGAAAAGATAACACTTTAGTTACTAAGATGTCCCCAATCCATTATTTTATTCCATCACCTCATATGCATACAAAAGCTGGGCAAGGAAAAGGGGAGACACAAGAAGAACCGATGCATTTGAACCATAGTGGTGCCAAAGAATAGTGGTCATAGGCTACAAGAAAAACAAACAGATTTTTCTCAGAGGAAATACGACCAGAATCCGCCTTAGAAATGAGAATTACAAGATTTCAACTAATTGATTTTCTATTTTTCATCAGGAAAAATCAACCACTAGATTAAGATATCTTGGTATAGTAGTAAAGGGTCCGTAGAAATTAGGGAACCCTCAATGAGATTAACTGGATGGCAGCCACAAAAATAGATTCAAATTTATCAATGATGGTCTGAGAACAGGTAAGATTTTGTTCTGGTGTGTATATATATAAGGTTGCCACAAGTCTGTGCTGATTTGACAGAAATTAACAAGCTCCCAGGTCACTACTCAAGGAGCAGGGCACAGATCTCCACATCTATATAGACATTTGTGTTAGTAGAAAAGTGTCCCTCAAAGATACCCATGTCCCATTTCCTGAAACCTGTGAATATGTTACTGTTATAGATTGAATTAATGTCCACAGAAAGATATATACTGAAGTCCTTACTCCTGTACCTGTGACTATGACCTTGTTTGGACACTGGGCTTTTCTTTCATTATCTGTTAAATTAAAAGAGGTTTGACAGAGTAGAGTGGGTTCTAATTTAATCTTTTCTGACTGATGGTTTATAAAAGGTGGATTAGATGTAGAAACAGATACACACACACACACAACACACACAAGAAAGGCAATGTAAGAAAATATATCTGTAAGCAGCAAAGGAATGCCAAAAATTGCTGGCTGCCAACAGAATCTAGGAGAAAGGTATGGAACAGATGGACTGCATGGTCCAAAACCTGCATTTGGACTTCTGGCCTCCAGTTAGCAAATGGATGTCTGTCCTGCCAAGGGGAAAGCTGCTATTGTTGTAGTTATGTTGAGTAGCTGGCAACTCATAGTGACCCTATGTACAATAGCCCTAAACCCTGCTCTATCTGTGCCAATCTTACTGTCTCTGATACACCTGTCCCCATTACCCCAGTCACTGAATCAATCCATCTTATTGAGGGTCTTCCTCTCCTGTGCTGTCCCTCCACCCTCCTAAGCATGACCGTCCCTCTCCAAGGACTGATCCCACCTTGCAACATGTCCAAAGTATGTCAGGCAAAGCTTCAGAATCCTTGCTTCCAAGGAGCAGCCTGGCTTTACCCTCTCCAGGATGAAATTGTATTCAATACTTTTTTCCAGCACCACAGCTCAGAGGCATCAATTCTCCTATCATCCCTAGTCAATGTCCAGCTTTTCTATGAATAGCAAGTACTTGCAAAGAACATGGCCTGTATCAGGCGCACTTTAGTCTCCAGACTGACATCACTGCTCTTCAGTACTTTGTAGAGGTCTCTGACAGCAGAGGTTCCCAATGCAGTTCATCTTTTAATTTCCTGGCTGCTGGTACTAAGAGTGTTGATTGTGGCACCAAGCAAACTAAAGCTGTTAACAGTCTCAATCTCTTAATCATCTAGCACGAAGCTGCCAATCGGCGTAGTGGTGAGAATCTTTGTTTTCTTGATAGTGAGCTTTGATCCATATTGAAGGCTGCAGTCCCTGACTTTCTGCAGCAAGTTCTTCAGGTCCTCCTCAGTTTCAGCAAGCAGGGTTTTGTCATCTATATAACACAGATTGTTTCTGAGTCTACTTTCTATCCTGATGCCACATTTCTCCTCATAGAGCCCAGGTAACTAATAAGCTGACTTTGAGATGGCAGGGAGGTTATTTTTAATT